AATCATTTTAAAATAGTTTGCGTATAAGTACAGTTTGTTTTAAAATAAGTTATTGAAAACTGTTTGAAATTAGGTTTGGATATCCGACATTTCAGCTGTTTGTATGTACAATTGGTTTTAAAATAGTTCGCGCGTTTGAATTTGGAGTTTGGACATCCGGCTTTTCAGCTGTTTGTATGTACAATTGATCGAACACACTTAGGGTTGTTCTCTGTTTAATCGAGGTACAAGTTAGGACAAACTTGGCACTACAGGCTATTTGAATTGCCTGAAGATGGATGGCTTAAATGGTACGGATATAGATTGTCTCGGCGGGTAAATATCGCACGTGTTGCGTGCATTCACCGGGTGTTCCAGTTCGAAGTTTGGCTAGATAGCCGTTGATATTTCCGATATTGAAACTACCGCTGCACAGCACTTCTTCTCGCGGAATTTTTTTAATATTGCCACGGACGAACAGAGGAAAAGTTATTCGTCGGAAAGAGGAATCGGTAACAAGTTAATTAGCAATTAAAATCAATATTAATTTCGTCAAATTCTGCACCCGCATTTGCCAGCTTCAGCATTAATACCTAAAAATCAAGGAAATTGGAATTGAAATTTTGTCTCGCGATATTTCCACAGTGAATTAATGATGAAAGAAGAAGAAGAAGAAAAAAAAAAGATCAAAATGTGAGATCTACTGAGATAAAATTGAAAGGAAAACGTTAACCACGATGGAGATTGCAAATGTAACACCCGCTCAGAAATCTTAAGCCATTTGTACAATGAAAATAGTATAATAAATATAAATTATAAATTACATACAATAAATACATTTCCAATGTAAATTATGCAATATAAAAGTGTAAATTATGTATACAATTTGCAATATGAAATACAAATTGTATTTACAATAAACACAACTATAAATATTTTATACTATAAACACTCTGTTAATATGTTAATATATTATTATATTATCGTTAGTATTGCATATGTGTAAATTATATTATTGTGTCATTATAATGTATATTATATTATAAAATATACGTGCACGATAATCTACGAATATTGAATATTAAAAATTTGCTGTCTGCTGCTTGAAAGACGTGAGAAGAAAACAATAAAGATAATCCTGTTTGATCAAGCTACGTGTCAAACATTCTGGTAAAAGGAATCAGTCTATCGGTCTTGTTACTTCAATTTTAAGATTTCTCGACAAATCTGGTTCAGCTATTATCACACAACGATCACGTCGTTGTCGCGAGCTTCGACTCGTGACCAGAGTGCAAAGTGCAGTGGCAATCACTGACTCAAGGCAGTCGCGTTTTTCTCTCTCTCTCTCTCTCTCTCTTTATAATTACCACCTCAATCTCGCTGAAATTGTATTTGCGCTGATCGAATAGAAAAAGAGAGAGAAAGAGGGAGACATTAAGTCTGTATTTTTAGAAATTACTCATGATACGCAAACATTTATGTATTAACAAACATTTATGTAGATAGGATTGTACGCGTGGTCACGCGTTTTCATCACTTCAATCTGGTTCTCATTCCCTCCTACGAATTTTGCAATTTCATGCCGGACGAGATAGTCGAAACAAAAAGAAAAAAGGAAAAAAATACGCGTACTTTTCAAAGGCTTAT